GAGAGAGAGAGAGAGAGAGAGAGAGAGAGAGAGAGAGAGAGAGAGACTAAGAAAAACATTGCACATTATTGCAAAGTCATAACATCAATTGTTCAAAAAGGTAGCATCTTGACCTGTTTCAATAGCCCACACCAAAAAGAATCGACTTAATTAATCTAAACAGCAGCCCTCCTTTGATTCACTTTGGCCTTCTCAGCATCAATGATGGAGTCAATCAATCCAACCGCACTCTCCATTCCGCCCTCTTCATTCACAACCACATAATCAAACTCCTTGAGATGCCTCAACTCCTCCCTAGCCGATGCAACCCTCGTCAGCAAAGCCTCGCTCGTCTCCGTTTTCCTACCTATCAACCTTTTCACCAAAGCCTCCTCACTCTCTGCCACCAAGAACACAAAAACTGCATTACTCCTCAAAACCCTCCTCAAACTCTCTGCACCCTGCACGTCCACCCTCAACACAATATCACACCCTTTAGCCATATAATCCCTAATCTGCTGCTTCGGGACTCCCTTGTACTCTCCGTACACCAACGCGTACTCCAACAGCTCCTCCCTATCGATCATTTTCAAGAACTCGTCTTTCGTCACGAAGTAGTAGTCTTTCCCGTCAACTTCGCCGGGTCTCTGGGGCCGGCTGGTGGCCGTGACCACGAAGTGGAGGTCCCGTCGGATTTCCCTCAGCCGGTTGATGACGGAGTCTTTCCCGACGCCGCTGGGCCCGCTGACGACGATGATGAGGGGGCTAGGGTTCGGGACTATGGGGTCCGAGCTGAATGAGGTGCCCAGGGAGGCCTCGAGGGCCCGGAAAACCTCGGCCCGGCCAGCGTGAGCCGGGTGCGGGATCAAAGGTGTTGGGGCGTCGTCCATTGTGGTGCTTGTGGAGTAGAATGAAGCAGGGGTGTTCGGGTTCGCCAGCAGGGGTCTCCGAAACCCTAATTTTAGGGTTTTGGAGTTCGACGGATGGATTGGCGGAGATCGAGAATTGGGAAAGGGGACTGTGAATTTGAGGGGAGAGAGTGAAGGGATTGCGTGGTATTTGGATATGGAGAAGCAGAGCCTCCGGAACACCATGGAAGGTACAATAGTGAAGGCGATTTAGGCGAGACTTTTCCAGTTGTTTCTGGGTTCTCACGCTTTGAGACTGTATATTAGCAAAGTGAATTACTATACTAAATACCGTCTCATATTAATATTTATCGTCCCGACCATTTTACACTTTTCAGGTACTTTTTTTTTTTTTTAATGTCTCTTTCTTCTCTCTACACTCTCTCTCGTCCACCCTCGTCCACCTACCTGACGAGCTCCGAAAAATTCCAAAAAGACCTCCGAAAAATTTTAGTGAGAGAATGTCGTCCGACAAGATGCGTTTCGAGGCGGCCGGTAGGAAAAAAAGGCCACCGACGATCGCGGCCGGTCATGGTCCTGTCGGCATGAGCCCAATGTTGGCCGCCTTATGCGGCCGGCCAGGTCTTTAATGACCTAAAAGTCCGGTTGGCCGGACTCAACCCAACCGCAATTGTCGGTCATTCGGCGGCAGCCCGACCGGTTTGACCAGCCAACCGACGATATTTTTTTTTGAATTTGTTTAATTTGTATTATATTAGTATAAAAAATTATATTAGTATAATTAGTATAAATTAAAAATGATACTAGTATGGTTATAAATTATTATGTTATAGATTAGAATTATCTTATAAAATATAATTCATTACTATTATGTTAGAAGTTAGAAATCATTATATTATAGATTAGAATTGATTGTCTTATGAAGTAATATTTAGTACTACTATGTTAGAAGTTAGAAATTATTATGTTATAGATTAGAATTTATTACTATTATGTTAGAAGTTGGAATTATGTATTTTATAAATTACAATTTACTATTATTATGTTATAAGTTATAAATGATTATCTTTTAAAATTATTAACATACATCGTAATATATTGCAGGTGCCACTCGAAGATTTTGGAGGAGACGGTTGTGATTACAACCCTTATTTTACTACAGATGACCTATTTGATAATTGTAAAGAAGCTATCAAGCGGGCGAAAATAATTGCAATTATATGTCGTTTACAATTGATCATCTCGGAACACAAAAAAAAAGGAAAGCAGAGGGTTTTGCAGTGTAATGGAGGAGAACGTTACAGAGGCAGTATAGGAGATTTGCTAAGGCTATTGTGAGACGTTCGAAAACTAAAGCGACCAAATGCCCTTTTGAGATAAAAGTCAAATTGGAGGCAGGATTTAATGCCCCATTCGTTTAATGTGAATTATTTATTTATTATAATTTGCATTTTATTTTCATTTTATTTTTATATGTATTGCTCAACAAATATTTCTCGAAAAACTTATCAGAATTAAATAGATGTCCTCGTCTATTTATTCTTCCTAATTAAAATACCTAATTGAAAATCGAAACTTAAGAGGATGTCCTCGTCTTCTTAGTTCTTCTGTTTTGCTTTTGTTTTATTTATTTGTCCTAAGTGTTTATTTTGTTTTATTTTCCTTAAGTGAAGTTTGTGTCTAAGCCTTTAAATTTTGAGCAAGTGTACTAAGTACATTTAGATTCAGACCTTTGTGTACCTAATAACCGAGTATAAAGTTCCTAGCCCGATATTCAAATCAAGCCAGCCCTTTTGTGCCTTTGATTTCAGTTCAAGAAGCAATTTAATATCAGCCCTCACCTTCGAGCTGGCCCAAACTCTAATTTTCCTGGCCCAGCAACTTTAGTGGTCTTGGCCCAACAGACCAGCCCATCACTCCTTTTGAACCAAAATTATCACTTAGAAAGGGTCTTTCTTCCCCGAACGATTTTTCCCCTTCTCTCAACCATATCAATTCCGCGACATTCAGTGACCACGTCGCCGAACCCAACGACCTCCATAATTTTTGGCTAACGCACCCACGTTACTCCCACCCGCAAGCCCTAAAGATCCCCTATTTAATCGCCTCTCAAGCTCAACCGCATATGCCATTTTTAAGCTCGCTTCGATTTACTCCGAGTTTACCCAAAATCGCCCAGCGAATTTTTGAGAATTAGCCATTTTTCGGTGACGATAAGGCCAGTGCACAGCTGGTGGTTCAGGCTGAATCGAAGTTACTCGGGTGTTGTCTGGGCTGAAACGAGTCTAGGGCTAAAGTGAGACGAGTTTAGATGACCACCCGAGGCTGAGAGTGAGCAAGCTGTAATGGCGACCCTCGAGTTTTCCGACGAGTAAGACCCGAGTTCCAGCGACAGGGCCTCCATGGTGAGTTGAGTAGTCAGCCCCGATAAAGAGCAGCGTGCAACGTCCGAGCGCCAAAGGGTTGGACTAAGCAGCAGCAAAACTGAGTCCTCTCTCGGCCGAATAGCCACCAGCCGAGAGGTCCCGAGAAAGGTACAACGGCTGAACCTCCATTCCCCTGTTTTGGCGGAGTGTTAGAGACTTGAAATTCAGTTAAACATGGAGTCTGATGGGTCTCTTCTCAGATCTGGAACGGCCCGATGAGGAAATGTTCGGATCTGGGATGAACCGGTATGAATGAGCTCAGATCTGATTTGATGGCCTTCGAACCGTTGTCGAGCCGCAAGAACACCTGCAAGAACTCAACGCCGGAGGGGTTTCCGGCGTAGAGCCTCCGACGCTCAAGTCAGTATGTGAAAGAGATGAAGATAGCTGCTCAGAGAGAGCAGCAACAGTGAGAGAGAATGTAGAATGAATGGGAGTTAGGGTTTTGGGATTACCTCAGTCCTTTATATAGAAGTGCAAAATTTACCTGAAGTCCCCAAAGTGCCCCGGCCGACTTACTGAAAATGTCCAGAATACCCTGGTCGGTTCGTATTCTGCCTACTTCCTAGTCAGCATCTAGATCCTTCCTTAGCTTCCTTCTTATCTTTAACTCTCCCTCAATACGCTGAGGTGTATTAAAGCTATCGAGAACTGTGAACTGCAAGACTCCTTCAGTCGACCTGAGATATCGAGTCGAGTCGACTGGATCGCATTCAATCGCTAGTGGATCCTGATACGTCTGACCGTCGTCTTGGCAGAAATTGACTTATGTTAGTCGACAGGTGTACGTCGACTCAGACGAGAGCCGGGATCCTTGACCGTGAGTATCGTGTAGCCTTATTGGCGGAGTCGACTTTGTTAAAGTCGGCTTGATAGTTTCGAACCGTGATGATACAGACCGTTATGAGCCAGTGTGGCTATATCATCTAGTCCCCCCCAAAAATTACTCGAAGCGACTCTGAGCTTAAGAGTAAGTTCTGGACGGTCGAATGTCTTCCTCGAGTCTTTTCTCATATCCTGTCGCCTGTCGTTGCCCTAAATTGTACCCGGTCGTTTCTGCGACTTGTGAAGTTATGTTCACCCAATCGTATTTCGAACTGATTGGATAAGTCTGGATCTTTTCAAATTTCAAAATTCAAAAGATAAGACACTTTCTCTCTCCACCGCTTCGTATTCTGTGCATCATCTTAGCCGTTGAAAATGACTTTAATCTGAGGGCTGGGGTTTCTCTGCCCTCTCTATAATTAATCCTTACCTTTTCTCGTCCTCACTTTTCGCACTCACCTTCTTTAAGCTTTCTGTTTTCTCCGGCAAACACAGCTTTCCGGCGCTCTTATTTTCTGATCCTTCTCCGATTTCTCAGGACTTTCTGTCAACCATCATGAGTATGAGTAAGTTTTCTTTGCCTGTTCGACTTGTTTTCGTATTTCGAGATAAGAACGCTTTTTATTTTTCTGGGTAAATTGTCTGGAAATAAAAACATCTTTCATTTTCTGGGAATTGCATGTGAATCTTCTGGCGATTTTCCTGTTAGATCTCTGATTGTAAGTTTTTTATCTTTTCAAGTGTTCTCCTTTGCTAGTCGTCTTGTTATGAGATCGACTCTTTTCCTTTCCTGACTTGACCTTCATTTGTCAAGTCGAATCGATATGGGAACTATTTTTCTTATTTCTTCTCCCTTTCTTCCCGTTGTCGAGACGCTTCTCGTGTTATCCTGGTTATTTTGTTTACCCTTCTCTTTGAATCGAATCACGGTTTCTAATAACTTTTCTTGATTGCAGTTGTTTTTCTTCTTAGATTCCAATCTCAATCCTGTTTCTGACCCCGTCTCCGGTTCTCTTGCCCGTGAAATCGATAACTATTCGGGTTCGGATTCTGTTCACCCAAACGATGTCGAGCCATGTTCTCGTCGAAACGTCGAGCCGGAGGATTTTGTCCGTTCACATGCCTCACCTTTCCGTATCTATTGGGCTATGTACAATCAGGCGTTGCTTTCGGGCACCCTTTGTGAGGATCCCGAAGTTCTCAAAACCCTTGAATCCTCTTACCCCGACTTGGCTCCTCGAGGTATTTTCTGCTAGATTCTTTCGAACATCCTCATACACGCGGCCAGCCTTGTTCCTTTACTTGATAATGACTTCCCTTAATCGAGTCTGCAACTATAGCATGTTCCGTGGTAAGTTCTTAC